ACCACAACACACATACTCCACATCCCATACCACACACATCACACACCACACACACCACACACAACATACACAACATACACCACACACACACACACACAACACACATACTCCACATCCCATACCACACACATGACACACATCACACACCACACATCACACAACATACTCACCGTACACACCACATAATACAACACACACACACCACACACATACTCCATACCCCATACCATACACATCACACACACCACCCACAACATACACATCACACATACACATGCACACCGCAACACACACCACAAACACAACACACTGCACACACACATACTCACACCACATCAAACGCACACACACACCCCCACGCACATACTCCACACACCCCCATACCACACACACACACCACACTCACCACATAACACACAACACACATATACCACGTACCACACACACACACCCTCTAAACTGAGCCCTGCGTGGCCTGACACCCATAGGCTGACTTCTCACCAACTGTTCAGAGAAATGAAAACGGGGCCCAGCCTTGCATGTTCCTTTAGAGGGGATGAGCCAACATTTCCATTTGTTATATTTCTTTTTCTTTTTTACATTTCCATTTTAAAGTGTAATTGTCTTGAGAGGCACAGTCCCAATCATGGCAGCTCTCCAGACAGAAGGTGGCGTGTCGGTGTCGGGAACACAGGCTGGATGGGCCATTCCCAGTTGAAAACAATTTGTTTCAACAAACAAATTGAACTGAATTTTAACAAACAAATGGAAACAAATGGAAACGAATGGGGAAGTGGATACTAGATTTAGCACAAGTTAGAAGTTCAGGGCCCGGAGATGCCAGGAACACAGACAGCAAAGTGAGACGGGGGCAGAATCGGGCTGTGCCCGGCTGAAAACAATGTGGTGTTTGGGGTGGGGGTAAGTGGCGTAGGATTTGGGGTGATTTTTTGGCTTTAAAATATTTTGAAAAATTATGTCACATTGTCTTTTCAATTAAAAAAAGTAATATTAAACACACGGCTTTCTTAAATTTCTGTGTCTGGACTTGGAACCTCCTCAGCTCTATTTTTGCCTCTTCTTTTCATCTTTAGGGGCTTCCTAGAAGGTTCCAAGAAATCTCCCAGGCGGGAAATAAGAAGGTCCCAGCCTCCTGCTCCATCGCTCAGACGGGAGGGTGTCACAATGGAGGTGCATGTGTCCAGCCCTCCAGATGTGTGTGTGAGTGTGTGTGCCCACACCCCCGGGCTTGAGTGTGTTTTGGGGGGCAGAAGAAGCTCACGAGAGTCTTGACAAGGAACTGAATTATTAATTTTTAAAACGCGGCCACGTAGCCTGCTGCAGCGAAGAACATCGGGTGGGCCTTGAAATCAAACCCACAACAGAAACCACCGACTCCCTGCAACCGGTCCCTGCAGCCTTAAGAAAGAGCGTTCTGTGCTCAGGCCTTGAATGGGGCCTTGTTTTGACTTTTCAGGAACATTCTAGTCTTTGGGCTCCTCATCTCTCAGTGTCGGTATCTCATTTTCCCGAGCCAGTTTACTCGCTCAGGGATCTCAGGGCCTCTGGTGTGGCCAGTGCAGGCCCTAATGTGACCACGGTGGTTAGTGTGTGTCTTTGTGGACGGAGGGAGCATTTATGAAGCACCTACTGTATGCTAGTGGCTGTTTTAGGTGCCTGTTGCTCCTGGCGGAGCTTATAGCACTTTGGGGCAGTGCCCAAAACAAGCAACAGACCCGTAAAATAATTAAGCTTCGTGTGTGACGGAGATGAGGAGGGGCTGAGACAGAGACTTGAGAGGGCGCTCGGGGAAGGCTTCTTAGACAAGGCGACATTCAAGCCACTCTAAAAGATGAGAAATCAGCCGTGTAGGGCCAGGGAAGGGCACATGCAAAGGTCTACAAGTTGGAAAGAACTTGGCTTGTGTGAGGAACCGAGAGAAGGCTAGTGAAGCTGGGATACCAGGAAGGGCAGGGGGCGGGGGAGGCGCGAGGTGAGCTGGGAGACGGGCAGGACCTGACCTGTCCCTCTGTGGCCCCCAGAGGAGTGGACTTTAATCTCCGTGCAATGGGAAGCCACTGAGGTAATTTAATCAGGGGGTGACAGACACTCCTAGTGCAGGAGGGGACATGGAAGGCATTCAAGTCTATCAGGGACCCACTATGTGCCAGGCCCCGAGCTTGGGGCTTTATAGTCTTGTTTCATTTAATTTTTGCACATTTATGGGACAGGTAACACGATCATCATTTTACAGGAAAGAAAATAGAGCTTCGGAGAGGGAGTAACACTTGCTCAGGGTCACACAGCTTGATAAGCGGGGGGAGCAGAAATCTGGAGGCAGGCCCCACACTTGCGTCCGTGCAGGGCCGCTGACCACCAGTGGTTCGTGGCCCCAGTGCTGCATGGGCAGCGGGCGGGAGGGATGGATGGATCCTTCTGAGCCCGCGGCACGCCTCAAAGCAGCTCAGTGCCGCCCAAGGCGAGTGCGTGTGTGTGTGTGTGTGTGTGTGTGTGTGTGTGTGTGTGTGTGTGATGTTTGCCAAATTCCCACCTGAGGACTTCTTCCTGTCCTAATCATTTTTGCTTTGAGGTCTTACCCAGTGGGCAGAGGAAGCCCACCTGCTTGGGAAGATGATCTCAGAGCATCTGAGCTGGAAGGAGGAACTTCAGAGATCCAGCCAGCTCCTTTTGCCAATCAGGGACCTGAGGCCAGAGAGGGAAGGCCAGTTTCCTGGGGCCCCACAGCCCGAAAGCTGGGAGGCGGGTAGTGAAAGCCGCGTATTTCAGTTTCAAGTCTATTTTCATAGCGCCCAGCTGGTGGCCTGCATCTCTATTCTGCATCTAGCCTGGGGCTGGGCACCCTTGGGCTGCACCTGCCCACCCTCAGCCTATTCTCCACACCACAGCCAGAGCGGTCCGTTGAAACCTAAGTCAGACCCCGTTGAAACCTAAGTGAGACCACGAGAGCCCCTGCTAAGACTCTGCTTACCACCCATAGTATGTGTGAATCTCCCTCCGCGCCAGCCACTGCCAGCCACGCCGTCTCTCTCCCCTCTCTCCAGGATTGATTCTCCCCTCTAGGGCCCATGACTACCTGGCATTGTATTTCTATTTACTGATCTATCCTTTGTCTCCCCAGGTCTTCAAGAGCGACATTGCCTGCCCTGTTCACTGCTGTCCCCCTACGTGGCCGTAGTGGAGACACAGTAAATACTGTCGGCTGACCGAATGGCCCCCGCGCACTTCTGCTCGCTGGTGGTGAGACAGCTGCCAGAAGCCTGATGCTCACGGCCCTTTTCCCAGGAGCGAGGTGCTTGTTCTCAGCGCCCTGGATCCCAGGGGGCAGGGGAGCGCATTCTCCTCCCAGCCTCAGGGGCTTCTGTCACTCACCACCCACATCCCGATGACTCCCCAGCAGACCCCCAGCCCACGTCTCTCTCCTGACCTCCACACTCGCTCCACCGCCTGCCCAAGGGCTCCGCTTGGGTGTCTCACGGGGGTCTCAAACTTAACATGCTCACAACCTGACTCCAGAACTTTCCCCGTGAACCTGCTCTACTCCAGCAGACGGTGAACCTGCTCTACCCCAGCAGACGGGTCGACGGTGACTGGACCAACTGGAGTTGGTCAGGCCAGAAAATGCGGAGTCACGCTCCACTTCTATCTTTCTCGCAGACCCCACACCGATCCCTCAATCCCTCCGGAAGCCCGACCTCACAGCTGACCCAGAATCCAGCAGCTCCTCTGCCAGCAGCGCGCCCCAAGGCACCATGGCCCTCCCCGCACAGCGGGGTAGTCTCCTCCTTGGTCGGCCTGCTGCCACCCCCGCTTCCCTACAGACCAGCTCTGCAGAGCAGCGGGCCTGAGCCCTCGAGAACACAGGTCTGTCCAGAACAGGTGCATCTGGAGAACCGGGAAGCAGGTTAGCTGTTGCCCAGGGCAGGGGAGGGTGGGAGGAAAGGGGCAGTGACTGCTAACGGGTACACAGTTTCTCTTTGGGGTGATGAAAATGTTCTAAAGTTGATTGTGGTGATCAACACACAACTTTGTGACTATACTAAAAACCATTGAATTGCTAAAAATAAAGCAAATAAACATATTTTTAACATTGAAACAAACAGTCGCATCATGTCCCTCCTCTGCTCAGAACGCTCAATGGTTCCCATCTCTGAGTTAAAGCCAAGGTCCTTCTGACGCGTTGACTTACTAGGGTCTCTCATCACCCGCCTGGCATCTCCCTCCTTCACTCCACTCGGGCCATAATGGCCTCTCTGATGTTCCTAGAACCTGCCCTGCCCATTCCTACCACAGGGCCTTTGCTCTTGCTGTTCCCTCAGCCTAGAACGTTTTTCTACCGCATATCCAAACAGCTCACTCCTTGCTTCCTTCACATCTTTACTCAAATGTCACCTTCTCAGAGAGGCCTTCCCTGGCCATGCCACCTTGTTTAATTCGCCCCCTGACACTTCCCATTCCCTTCCCTGCTTTATTTTTTCTCCTTAGAACTTATCACGATCTGACGTGCTGTGTATGTTCCTTGCTATCACATTTATCGGCCGCCTCCCCCACGAAGCTCCGTAAGGGCAGGAATTTTGTCTGTTTTGTCCATGAGAGTGTTTTCAGCACATAGAATGTGCCCGGCACAGAGAAGGCCCACCAAGTGTTTGTGGAGTGACAGAATGATGGACGGGATGACAGGAGACAGGACAGGGGTCTGTGAGACAGGGGCTCCCCCAGCTGCAGGGAGCAGCCTGGGGCCGGGCGGTCTCCCTGGAGCCTCCAGGTCGCTCCTGCCAGCCTTGATCCCCAGGGAAGGCCCTCGGGTGGGCAAGGGCCTGAATCATGGGAGTCTTTGTGGATCACACCACTGGGCTCAGCTGGAGTACCCGGGGGCCTTTTTGGGTTGGGTTCTGGGCCCTGGGCCTCTCTCAGCCTGTTGAGCAGTCAGGAGACTGCCCCGTGGTTCAGTCTGAATCACAGCCACTCGGGCTCTGCTAGGGGTCCTGCCGGCCCTGGGCCAGGTGGCAGCCACGCGGGAGAGACAGAGGCAGGCGGGGAGACTGAGGCACAGGGCGACAGGGGAGAGACGCAGAGAGACTGAGTCAGACCAGGGAATATCTTCACATATTTAAAAAAATAAGTTATGAAAGAGAAACTGAGGCCCTGAGAGACTGAGAGGGAAGGGTAGAGGCAAGGACAGCGTGCTCTGCGCCCCTGAGGTCAATGTGATGATGGGAAGACGACGAGGCGGGACGGGGAGAGCTGCTGACGGGGAGAGGCTGAAATGCAGGCCCTCAAAGCGCTGGCGGAGGGGGGGCATTTAAGCCCCCTGGTTCTGCAGTCAGCTGCCAGGGTCTGGAGCTCAGCTCCTCCACTGACCGGCTGATGTTGGGTGAGCTGTGCCACACCTCTGAGCCTTACTTTCCTCGACTATAAAATGGGGGTTCTTAGAGAGCCCATCTCATAAGGTTGTTATGAGGAAGCACCTAGAACAGTGGCCAGGACATGGTCAATGGTCAGTAATGATAGTTATGATTACGATCATCAAGAGGGTGAAAGAGATTGTGCAACCGGGAGCAGGAAAACGAGAGACAAACAGTTAAAGGAGCCTGAGAGAGCCGGCGGCGGGGCAGGAGGGTGGCGGGCAGGGGGGCAGTGGATAGAAGAGAGAGAGGAGAGCCCCGAAGAGGCAGCAGAAGGGGGCCACGATGACGGGAGGGGCGGAGGCGTAGGTCTCACCTGCGGCTACTCAGGGGGGCCAGTGAGGGAGGGGGCTGGCAACGGGGAGCTGGGGGGAGGGTGGGAGCCCCTTGAGAGCAGGAACAATGCCCCCCGCACGCCTCAGCATGCCGCAGCTGTGCCCCGCACAGGGCCTGGTGCACAGGGGTGCTCAGAAGTCGCTTGCTGGCATGGCCGGGAACGTGAGCCGGAGCTGGGGGTGGGGGGGCACGCTCCCTGTCCCTCCGGCCTCCTGGCTCTCACGCCCATTCCTGTGCTGGTGGTTGCCAAGGTTACCTGCTGAGCTGCTCCCCCAGTGCCTTCAGCTCCCCCTCCTGCTCTGTCAGCAGCTGCTCCTGGTGCTGGGCCTGCTCCTCTGTCTTCTGGAGCCCACGTCTGAGGCTCTGGGGGAGGGAGAGGGGAAGGGAAGCTGAAGGAGGAAAGCAGAGGCCCCGGCCTGGGGACCGACCTGACAAACATCACCGTGAGACCCCAGGCCATCCCAGACAGCCCTTGGTGGAGGGCAGGACTGGGGCAGTGCCGGGAGCTGTTGCCTGGCTTGGCCCTTGGGTGAGCCTGGAGCCACCATTTCTTCCTGCTTTGAAGGATGGACGTTACAAAACTCAAGGACCTGGAAACCTCTGGCTAGGGAGGAGGTGTGCGAACAATCTTAGTTGACCACCAGGAGAAGCACCTACATGAAGAGCAACTAGGTGAGGTCTGCCTGCAACACTAGAACTTAGACATTGGGAAGAAACCTGCCAATCATGAGGGCTATCCAGCTTGAGAACAAGCGACTGCCCAAAGACCTGTTGGGAAGGGATCTCAAACTCAAATGGCTACGGGTGCCAGGCAGGTAGATTTGATGAATAAAGTGGGCCTGGTGTGAAGCAATAGGGAGAGGTGGGGACTGTGGTGAACTGAAGAACGCACGGCTTTCAAAAGGTATCCTCGAATAATAATAATCCTGTGTTGAGCACTAAAAATTGATCTATGGGCTGGAGTGGCCCTGGGCTGCCACTGAAGAGCCCCCTCTGTGGGTCAGGTTAGAGAGGGGAGAACAGACAGGCACAGAACTCAACTGCTCTCACCTCGACCATATCCTGCAAGGCCACCTCTGCCGGCTCCTCCCTCCTGGTCACACTGGTCACTCCTGTTTGCTCTTGTGGCTTCTCTGAGTTGGAGCCTTCCTTTGTTTCCAGACTCTGAGAGACCCAGGGCATCCCCGAAATGCTAGGCGCCTCCCACTCCTGCCTGCTCACTGCCGTTACGTCCTCTATTGTCCCTCCGGGGCTGGAGCCCAGCAGCCTCTGGACGTGACCCCACGCTGCCTCCCCTTCAGGAGTCCCCTCTGTCGTTCTCTGACCCTCCGCACCCAGCAGAACCCCTCTGCCCTCATCCTCTGCCCCTATCACCTCCTCCAGGGCCCCCTTGGCTCCCTCTCCCTGTCCCGGGATGCTGGGTGTTGAGTTCTCCAGGCAGATCCCCGTCCTTGGGGCTCCCTTCCCCTGGTCTTGCTGAAGCTCCTCCCTATCTGGTTTCCACATGCTCCAGGAGAGTCCAAGGCTCCTGAGTTCTTCTCTCTTCTTTTCTAAAAATGGTGTAGTATGTCTGTGTCGCTGGGACCTGGAGGATCTAGCCAGTTGGTCTTCCCTGGGTGCATCTCGCACGCAGCCGGCTTGGCTGGCGTGTGGCTCCTCCGGCTGAACTCCTATGGGGCCTCCACAGGAGGGTGAGATCTGCAAAGAAGCCCCAAACCCATCATCCCTCTCAGCATCAATTCACCTAACTGGTGCATGGGAGAGGCCACAGCCTTAATCCAACGGGCTTGATAAATATATGGATGCCCAGGCCCTCCCACTGGAAATGTTGATTCAGTAGACCTGGGGTAGGGCCCAGGAATCTGAATGCTAGCAATACCCCAGGTGATCTGAGGCCCAAGCCTTGATCTGGTCAGGGAGAAGCAGTGCTTCTCAATGCCCTTTCCTCCCTCCCCTGTAGCCCGCATCCTTCTCCCTTCTCCTCCTCTGTCTTTTGCATTGATCTGGTTTCCCATAAGTTCCTCCTACCCCTCTCCTCTGATCCTTCCCCCTGAACTTGACTTCTCTGCATTTTAGTTTTCTCATCTGCAAAATGAGAATAATAATGCCTGCCTTGTAGGGTTGAGCTGAAAGCTTAAATAGACCAACAGCCAGCTAAGAGTCACCTCTCTCAAGAAGCCTTCTCTGTGCTCCCCTGTTCCTCTGTGCATGTCTGTATCACTATACTCAACACATTGCATTGCAGTGTGTTCCTTCAGTGTCTGTCTCCCTGAACAGACCTGGAACCCCTTCAGGTCAGAGACTGAGTCCTCATAGAATCTGTACCTGGTGCCTGGAAGCTGGTGAGGGTGCAGAGTGAGCTTATGGAGTGGTGAGCACCACAAGCTACCACTTACTGAGCACGGAGCCAGGAGCCTAGTGCTCTGTGCTATGCATGGGCTGTCTCAGTGCATCCTCACGACCACCCTCTGAGGCAGGACGGCTAACCTGCCCAAGGACCACGGTTAGTAAGGAGTGGAGCTGGGATTTGAACCAGGTGATCTGGCTCTTCAATTGCTCCCTGAACTGAGATGTTTGCAAATTGTCCAGCAGAGGTCGTTTCTCTGTTCTATTTCCTACAAGCTTCTGGTCGCTCTCTCCAGCACCTCCTCCTGCCCTGGGCCCCAGTGGCTTCTGCAGATGGTACCAGTGGTCCTGTTCTCTCCCTAATATGCCTACCACCTTAAGAATATGAGCCTTCGCTTCTGTGGCTCCCCTGTCCCCAGGTCCACACTTTGGGTCAGGGCTCAGTTACTACTCAACCTGGGGTCCCAACAGAGATGGAGAAGAGGCAACTCAGAGTGAAGGTCGGGAAGAGGCACCTCCTTTGGGGAATTTTTGGTCTTTCTGGGTCTTCTTCCCTGTGTCCGGCTGGAATTGGAGCAGCAGGACCTGAAAGTGAAAGGGGCAGGGGGACCCTGGGCCTCTCTCCAGCAGTGGTCTTGGTTCTCAGATGCAGGATACCCCATCTTTCCAACCACCCATTCATCCATCACCCTTCCCACCTTCCTGCCTGCCACCCTCATGCAGGCATCCCCCCTCCATCCATCCATGCATTGCATGATCCATCCATCCATCCATCCCACCATCCGTCCGTCCGTCCATCCATCCATCCATCCACCCATCCATCTATCCCTCCCTCCCTCCATCCATCCACCCATCCACCCATCCATCACTCCCTCCTTCCCTCCATCCATCCATCCCACCATCTATCCATCCATCCATCACACCATCCATCCATCACACCATCCATCCATCCATCCATCCATCCCACCATCCATCCATCCCACCATCCATCCATCCATCCATCCATCCATCCATCCATCCATCCCACCATCCATCCATCCATCCATCCATCCATCCATCCATCCATCACACCATCCATCCCACCCTCCATCCATCCATCCCACCATCCATCCATCCCACCATCCATCCATCCATCCATCCATCCATCCCACCATCCATCCATCCATCCCTCCATCCATCCATCCCACCATCCATCCATCCATCCATCCATCCATCCATCCATCCCACCATCCGTTCATCCTTCTAATCCTCTACCCCAACTATCCAACAACTCTCTAGTGAGTGTGTATTCTACGCTGCATCATATGGGACATCATGAGATTATGCTGGGAAAAAAGAAGGCTAGGCAGCTGGAGAATCAGGGGGTCAGGGAGCAATAAGGGAGGGGGAAATGGATAGTGCTGGAGGCTGAGGCTTGGGCTGGCTTGGGCTGGGTGGCAATGGCAGCAGGCACTGAATAGAGACTTCTCTCCACACTGCACCCACTCACTCTGAGAACATGGGCCAGGCTCCATCCAGGTCTGGCCGCTTCAGGTCCAAGTCGAAGGCCACCCCATTGAGAGCGTAGAGAGAGTCCAGGATGTCCTCCCGGAGTTCAGGGCACACCAGGGGGCTCCGGGGGCCATACCACTCCCTGTGTTAACAGTGACCAGCACCCTTGGCCTTTGGCACTGGCACTATTGCCACTCCCGGCCTCAAAGAATCCACTCCACTGCACACCGTGACCGGATGGTTCCCCAGGCAGGCCTGTGGCCCTCGGGGAGCAGGAGGCCCAGCATCATGACGCTGCCAGGACTCCTGGGCTCTAGCCTCCCCTCTGTCCTTTCTTCCCTGACTTTCCCTTCCTGACTCTCATTTTGGTCATCCTTGATATTAAGCAATCCTCTGGGGGGTTCACGAAGGAGGGACAATGGGATCAGATGGTTTGAGCAGGAGCATGTCCCCGCAGCCGCACCTGGTGAGCTCTGGGTTCAGGAAGCAGAGCTGCAGTGACTCAGCCAGCTGTCCGTGGGCCAGGCAGAAGCGGATGAAGGCCCGGCCTTTTCCCAGCGGGGTCTTCAACTGCAAAGAGCACAGGGGGAAAAATGAGGGGTGGTGGCATTAAGACAGAGAGAACTCAGCCAGCACAGAGAGAGAGAAGATGGGAACGAGTGTGTGATGAGAAAGGGCGTCATGGGACTTGAGGCTGTGGGAGGAGAGCGGCTGGCTGGAGGGATGCTGAGGGCAGGGCTGACGAGAGATGAAGCCCAGGTGAGGGGATCTGTGGTCAGTGGAGCTGGGATGGGTGGGAAAGGGACCTAGGGTAGGCCTGTGCCCCCCAGCCCTAGGGCCCCATCACGCTGAGGCCAGCCTCCCCGCCACCTGGCCCTGGATACCTTGTCCTGTGAGAGGACGAAGCGGGCTGGCTCCGTGTCCCTCCGCTGCTGCCACAGGGCAGTGCAGAGGAAGTCCCAGTAATCCTTCCGCGGCCTCAGGAAGCTCTTCTGCTCTTTCTGGTCAAACTGGGAGCAAGACGAGGGAAAGGACAGTGTAGAAATGTTTGCTCCCGGAACCCACCTTGCATTCCAGTGTGCTGAGCAGGTGCACGGTCGAGCGGAAAGGGCTCATGCAGACAGAGCCAGCTTCAGGCCCTGGCTCTGCCCTTACTGGCTGTGTGACCAGGAGCAAGCTGCTTGACCTCTCTGGGCTGGCAGTGGTCTCATTCATGCATTCATTCCAGAAATACTATTGAGCACTACTATGTGCCAGGCCCTGTTCTAAGCCCTGGGGATACAGCCATGAACAAACTGACCTCCTGGGCTTCCGTCTTGGTAGGGGAGACAGACAAGGACCAAACTGAAGAAGTAATACATGTAGTATGTTAGGTGGTGCTGACCGCTAAGGAGAGAATAAAGCAGTGATGAAGAATAGAAAGTGTGTGGTGTGTGCACGCATGTGTGTATGTGGTGCTGTGTTAAAGATTTAGATTAGGGTGGCTGGAGAGAGCCTCACTGAGGAGATACTATTCAAGTCCAGATCTGAAGGAAATGAGAAAGTGTACCATCCACATTTCTGGAGGAAGAGCATTCCAGGTAGAGGGAAGAGCACGTGCAAAGGCCCTGAGGCAGGTGCATTCCTGATGTGCTTTAGGAGGATCAAGGAGGCTGGTGTGACTGGAGCACAGCAGTTGAGGGGCACACTCACACCTGCACACCACACACACACACAGACACACACACACTCACACTACACACATGGACACACACACAGAGAAGTAGGAAGGGTAGGTGTGTGTCTGTGGGGGATGGGCAGGTCATCAAACACCACAGGGGGTCGGAATGAGAATTACATAAGGTGGGGCATGTAAAGGACGTGGCCTGCCACGTGGTCAGCGCTCAGCAAAAGCTGGGGAGAATGGTTGGTTGGGGCTGTAACCCGCAGCAAGGAGGGCCAGCCCGAGGACACCCGTGCCTTCGAAACTTTAGTCGTCAGAGCAGGGTGGCTCTGTCGACTTCCCAGGCTCCAGTGACAGCCTCCAGGAGTGAGGGGAGCTTCAGGAGGACTTGACTCTGGGGGAGATGAGGCAGCGCGTGGTCACAAAGGGAGGCGGCGGCTCTTGCCTCAGGATCTGGGAAAGCCCTCCTGGTTACGGGGTCTGGAGAGAGGGGAGACGGAGGGGAGGGCAGGGGAGGGCCCCACCTGCAGGAGCAGCTCCAGGCAGCCGCAGAGTCTGTGCAGCTCAGCGCTGGCGTCCGTCACCGGCTGCTGCCCGGCCCCGTGGCCCTGGAGGATGGCGGAGACGGCAGCTGCGGGGCGGGTGGCGGACAGCAGACATAGGTAGTGAGGGCTCTGAGGGAGAGGCTCCCAGGACCCCTCGCTGCTCCCCCAATTCAGCCCCAGCAAATCTCCCAGGACACGCTCACCTTTCAGGTCCCTGGTGACCTTGAGGACAGCCCCCTCTTCCGCCATGAGTATCTGAAAATGACGGGATTCCTGCGGCTCTGGAAGGTCAGCCCAGGAAGGAGCCTCTGGGTTCAGCCACCCAGTTCTCTCCTTATACAAAGGGAGGGTCAGAGCCTGGAGAGGGAATGTGACATCTCTAGGCACACACAGCGAGTTAACCGGTGGGATATAACACCCGGCTCTTTCTTGTAGGCCAGTGTGGGAAAACAAGGGTGTGGCCCCCTCTGAGGGAGCACCGTGCCACGTGCCTGACATCCTTGTCTCGTTCAGTCCCCACAATAACCCTAGGAGGTCATTAACTCCATTTTATACAGGGCTCAGAGGGGCTCAGAGAGAGTGAGTGTTCTATCCAACGTCACAAAGCTGTACATGGTGAAGCTAGAATTTGAACTCAGGTCTGTGTGCCCACAGGCCTCATGTTCTCGCCCGACTTGATGTGAAGAGCCCGGTTAGTGCACATGCCACGTGGATGCGGGGCTGACAGAATGTCACCCTTCTGCCCCACAGGGAGCCTTGCAGAGCAGTCACCATCCTTGAGACATACAGTCATCCTTTCCGGGGCCCCACGGAGTGGAAAATGTGTGCTCTTCGAGGAGAGGGAGGCAGAAGTAAGGCAAGGCCCCGGAGCTGGGCCTGGGCTGGAATGCTGGGTGTGTGGGGAGCAGGACACCTGTTTTAATTCTGCTGCCCTCTCCCAGAGGAATCTTAGCTTGTTCTCCCCACAAAGGGTCCTGGGGCTCAGAGAGGAATATAGCGGCCTCTGAGGGCCAGTGGGCTTGAAAGCGTGGAGTATAGACCAGGAAGGGGTGGGGAACCCAGGTGTCTTGCCTCCCAGGCTGTGGTTGCTGGAATTTGGGAGTGGGTGGGAGTGAAGAAGCAGTGGAGGGAAGGTAAATGAGGGAGGGTGGCTGGGGATGGTGCTCAGGGAACACCGAGCCAGGAGTCAGGGGACCTGGGTCTTCATCCTGGCCCAGCTACTAACTCACTGTGAGCCCTTGGGCACATCATTCGCCTTTCCTGGGCCTCCGTTTCCCCATCTGTAGAGCAAGGGCTTGACTGAGGGTCTCTGCAGTTGCTTCCAGCCCAGATGGTCTATGAAATCCATGAACACTTAGATGTCCCTCCTCCTCTCCCTCATCTCTATTTAGGGTTCCTCTGCCCCGTGACCCTGGCACCACTCCTTTCTCCGGCCAGCCCCAGACCCAGCAGTCTCCCTGCTACTCACCTGGGAAGGACTGGCTGTTTGGGGCATGGAGAGTGGGGCCCTGCAGCCTGAGCCCGGTGCAGTCTGTCCCAGTCTGCAGCCTGGAAAGTGACTCAGACTCAGCCCAGCCCCTTGGAGGGGGAACTCCTGCTCAGAGGGGAGGAGTAGAAGGCTGCAGGGTAGAAGCGGCAGAGGCAGGGTCAAGGGCAGCTGGGCAGGAGGGGTGAGGCACGGGGGAGTCCCCTCAGGCAGACCTGGAGTACAGACTCACCCAGGGGGCAGCGGCAAATGCTGCTCTGCAAATTTCCTTCCCTTCTCAGCACATCACTGGCTCTTGTCTTTCTTCTTCATCGCCACCAGGTGGCACAAAGAAACTGTGATGCCGTTCCACCTGATATCTGCCAGTCTTGACTGTCACTTGGTTGGACTGTGGTGCAGGTGGGTAGAGGAGTACAAGGGTCCCACCACGTTTCTTCCTCCTCCTCCCCACCTCTGACTCATGAGGGGTCCCCATGAGTGCCGGTCACCCTTGCCATCCTCCCAGTCCTGGCACTCACCTTGAAGGATGGAAGTAAAACCACTGGTGAGATGCTGTACCCAGGGATGGGCCAGGTGGGCTGCCCAGGTGGGCTGCCAGGTGGGCTATGGCCCTCCTACGCTGGCTGTGCCCTGCCTCCTAGAGGCTGCGATCTGTCCACCACCTGGTCCCGTTCTAGGCTGGGATGCCCCCGGGGCTAGTATTGGGGGCAGAGAGCAGAGGAGCCGGCAGCTGGGAGTTCTACTGTTTCACAAACCCCGGCAGCCGCATGTAAACACCGGCACACGCGGTCCCCAAGCCCGGCTCTGCCCCCCTGCGCGACTCTCCGCCCGTCTCTCCGTCTCCAGCACTTGGTCCCCCGCTCCGTCCCCCGTGTCCCAGTCTCCCCGTCTTTCCCTCATTATCTCTCCTTATCTGCTTCCTGCCTCTCCCACGCGCCGTCGGTCTCTTTCTCGCCCTCCCAGACTCAGCCGATCGCCGCCCAGTCCCCGGGACCCCCCGCCCCTCCCCGCGCCCCCGCGCCCCTTTCTCC